AATTTCCTAATTATGAACATTTTTAAACATTTTTAGCTTTTTGACCATTTTCCAATTTCCATAATTGTCTTTCGATTTGCTTTGTCCAGATGTTAATAGACTATCTAAGTTTTTTGTTATTTGTGTCAGATATTTCATTTTTTCGCAATATTCAATTTCTGTAATACAACCTTTGTCACCATTCACAGTGGCCAGGAATAAGAAAAAGAAAGAAAGAAAAAAGAAAAAAGAAAGAAAGAAAAAAAGAAAGAAAGAAAGAAAGAAAAAAAGAAAGAAAGAAAGAAAGAAAGAAAGAAAGAAAGAAAGAAAGAAAGAAAGAAAGAAAGAAAGAAAGAAAGAAAAAGAAGAAGAAAAAGAAGAAAAATCTATCTATCAATCTATTATCTGAACATTTCAATTTCTGGTCTTCACACTTTAGTAGTTCTGGTAGCTGCTCAGAGATTATAGAGCTGAATTTCAAATTTCACCTATCTTGCTATCTTTACTTATAGGAATTATCATGAACAAAAGAATGGTCCTTTACCCAGCCACAGTTCAAGTTTGCGTAATTCTTCACAAAGCAGCTTTTGGAAGTGTTGTACTTTCTCAATAGATGACATAGCACATTCATTCTCACTCTAATTCCTACTTTCCCCTTACCATCATCTGCTTTAGTTTCAAAACCTATTGCATTTTTTTCAGCTAATTTAGCCCTCTCTCTCCTGACAAGCCTCAATGATGTTCACCATGCAAGGATAGTCTGTTTACAACAATCTGCTGAAAGATGTCTTGCAAGGCTAAATCATTCACCTTGAGCATTTTGGGCTACGCACACCATGCTAAATGGCTCAAGAGAATGCAGGCTATATCTCTAATGATCTTTATATATTCCTACCTGATAGAAAAACATAGGTGGATTGAAAAGAGGAAAGACGGAAAAAGTAACAATCCCTCAATTAGCCCCCACTCTTTCCTCCATTCTCTGTTGTCACAAGACAAAGAAAGTCAGAATAAAAAACTAAAAGTGGCAAGAGTGAAGGGAGGGGAACCAAGAAACCAAACCTCTCAAACAGATAAAAAGCATTTTTCAACCCTCAAATGCCTCATTTTCTATTCACTCTAGTTCTGGTAATCACTACTAATTACATAAATATATGACAAAAAGTCTTTCTCTCAACAAAGAGCTTACCTCTGGTGCCATCCAGTATGGTGTGCCGATGAAAGACTTTCTTTTGCTAATGGTGGCTGTGATCTGAGCTGACACACCAAAGTCAGCCAGCTTCACATCACCATTCTCCGTTAATAAGATATTGGCGCCCTGAAGGAAAAGTTGAGATCAGTTAACTGAATCTTTAACTAAATAAATGAAAAATACCAGATCAACATATTTTCACCTCATTTTCATGTTTTTCTATGGAATGTATCAAATCTATAGTATACCTTTATATCTCTGTGCATTTTACCCATACGGTGGAGATACTCCAACCCTCGCAATGTCTCCCTGCACATATAACCAATCTGACGCTCTTGAAGAGGTCCAGTAACTGAAATTTTTAAGGTACATTAGAACTTTCCTCAATGTTAAGATTAATAAATACTTTAATAAATACTTTAAGTTTCTGTATATGTACAAAAATATTAGACAACTGCATCAAATAAAAGGTTTTATGCTGTATAACCAAACAATAATGTGAATAGTTGATTCTATGGTAAAGAGAACCTGTTGCACAATATTTGAGGATAAACCCCAATATTTTTACTCTCAGATTCGATTACGAGAGGCTTATCTCTGGCTAATCAAAATGACAATTATCTTAAAAACAGACATTGCAAGTACTCATGTTTTCCAAACACACCCACAATGAAGGCCACTTACTATGGTATATATCCTGCAGGGATCCACCTCCACAAAATTCCATGCATATCCAGAGTTTGTCTCTCCGTAAATAACTCCCAAAGTAAGCAACAATGTTTGGGTGTCTGCAGTCCTTCATCATCAGGATTTCTTGCTGGATGATGGTGAAGTCATCACCTATAAGAGCATATAAAGCGTAGAGATAATGGTAAAGTGATTAATAATAGTCCTCTACAAGCAAGTTTTATTGATACCAATTCACACTGGGTACGGAGTGCATATTTCATCCATATGTTTTTGTATTTTTTAAATATATAGGTGGTCCCTAAACCAATTGGTGACCAAAGGAATCAACTTATAGGTCTACCTCACTTGTTAACTCTTTTCCTTAAATTTTTGGGGCTAAAAGATTTTCTATGTCACCATTGTCCTCTTTTATGTTATCATTAATTCTGATGATACTATGATCATATATGTTAATAATATGTAAAAAAATCAAACTTTCATAACATATTAGTAACATGCCATAAACTCATTCTTGACAGGTGATTTCCTATAGTATTGTGGTAAAAAATTCCAAATGCAAGGTGAATGAAGCCCAATCACACCAAGTCCCAATTGCCAGGACGATACCTCACATGCCCAACCATGGACCAAACAGACACC